ATGAAAGCTTGGAGCAATTGGCTTCATCGACAAGATCAGAAAGACGAGGAGAAGCGAATCAAAAATCGAGCCAGGCAGCGAGCGCTGAGACAGCAGCGTCGGTCGGATCGGGCCGCAGGCCTACAACAAGCAGCTCGAAAGGGACCATCCCTATACGGCGGTCGTGGACTGTGTCAAGAGAAGACCCGGAGCCGAGAGGATCGATCAGGAGAGTGCTGAAGCAACACACCAAAGCCCCTCAGAAGGAGCGGACTGTGAAGTTGCGATTGGTCGAACGCGAAGTCCAAGCCTCCCGGGTTACCGCAAAGGGAGAGTACATGGTGCAGAACCGCCACAGGGCATGGGTCGCGCCGAAGCGTCGGCCGCGAGCGTCAGGATCCCAAGAACCAGAGAAGGTGACCAAGGGATTTGTGGAGGTCCAGCCTTCAGGAATGCGAGGGATCTCACTTGTCAGCCTGACAGCGTCGGAGATCGCGGAGTCAGACCTTGCGGACTTGAGAGAAATGTCGCCAGAGGTAGCTGGCTCCAGGTCCGAGGAGCCACCAGCCCCGTCAGCGGGACCAAAGAGCAAAGGAGGCTCTTCAGGGTTGGTGGGCGAAGAGAGAATAACAAGCGAAGTTGTTCTCCGCATTTCCGCTTCAGAGAGCGGAGACCTGACGAAGCGAGCTCAGGAGGTCAAGCCAGGGACTGCTTACTTCATGAAGCGAAGGCGTCAAGAGAAGGAGAAAGTGAAGTTCACGTCCCAGGTCAGGTCACTGTTGAGGCCAGCCGGCAACGCAGCTCTGAGCGTGACCGATGCCAGTACTTCCGAATGGATGTCGGAGACAGCCGATCCCCCAGTCCTCGAGCTGACGGAGGAAAACCTGAAGAGATTGGACGAATCGGTCAAGCAGCGGAAGACGCCTTCGATCTTACCGATCAAAGCCAAGACTCGGCCTATCGGCCCTCAGCCGCCGCCAGTGCCGCCGCCCGGATCGCAACCGCCGGCCAAGCAGCCACCTGTCGCGCCGCCAAAGCAACCACCTGTTGCACCACCAAAGCAACCGCCGGTTGCGCCGCCAAAGAAGCCACCTGTTCAGCCGCCAGCTCCACCGGCAACTGCCGATCCGGAGGAGATTCCGGAGCCGAAGTCACCGTCGGTTCCTGGTCCGAAGACGCCGCCGACCAAACCCAAGGCGAAGAGTCGACCGCTTACCGAAGAGCAGAAAGCGGTGGCGGAAGAGAATTTGGCTCAGGAAGCCCAAGATATGCTCAGGAAAGCAGAGAGGGGTACCGCGACCCTCAAGAGAGAGAAGGAGTCCTCGGCGTCGGGATCGGGTGCGAAGAAAGTACCGAAGTATCTGGAGCACCTGACCGACGAGCAGCGAGAACATTTGTTTCGCACAGAGCTATCATCCGAGCGAGAAGCGGAAGCGATCGAATGGGAGAAGGAACTTGCCCGCCGAGAGAAGGAAGAGGAAGAACGCCGAAAGGCGAAGGCGCTGTATCGTTCAGAGAGAATGGCCCAGGCCTTGGAACACGGAAAGGAGATCCAGCGTCGTCGGCAGGAAGAGTTCGAGAAAGGAAAACAAGATCTCCTGCAATGGAGGGCAGAAGAGGAAGATCGAGAGAATTTGAGAAAGGCGAGGCGAATCTCTCTCGAGCAACCCGCCATGCCACCGCCAGTGGGAGGAGTAGTTCTGACGCCGGCGCCGACGGAAATGTCGGAACCGACGGCGATGGTGGGGGAGAGTCCCTCTACGCCGCCAGAAGCGCTTCAAGCACCATTGTCCGAGGGAGAGATTGCGTACCGCAAGCAACTGCAGGAGCATCTGTCCAAGTTTTCGGACAAGAGGGAAGACGCGAAGTAGGACGCGATGTCCGAAGCGTCGGACGCGAAGGAAGACACGATATCCAAAGCGTCCAGGTTCCTCCCAAAAGGGGAGTCGAGCCGCCGATAAGAGCCAGAGCGCATTTTTCGAATCCAGCATTCGACGTCGTGCGCAAAAAGGAAGTCGTTTGCACCGTTGAGTCAGAGCCTGAGTTCGAGTTCGAGTATCCCATCGAGCTACGAGGTAACAGACTAGCTAAGCACATTTTGCAGAGTCACACCCCTTATGATCCAAGCTGTGCAGTCTGTCTCACGAGCAAGGGATTGAAACGAGCGCCAAAACGTACAGATCAAGTCACCAACGAAGTCCAGATGGACATTGCCAATCTATGCACCCACCCAAAGTCTCCAAATATGTATAGGTATGTTGTGATTTGGAATCGGACGCACGGTATGATAGCAACAGCTGCAATTTATGTAGACCAAGCTTCGACGATTCGCGTTTTGACAGCTGCCATCAACCACTGTTCGTCCACAGGTGCGATGGTTCTCAGTGATGAAGGCCGTGACTTGACTGCGCTCATTTCTGAACTCATTCGATTGAAGGTAGTCTCAAGGCATGAGACCAGTCGCCCAGGAAGACACGCAACTGGAGCCGAAAGGGCAGTGAGGACCCTCAAGACTCAACTAGGGTGTATTCGTACAGTGTTGTACCAGCACGGGTTGATGCTAGGTAGTGAAAGCCTTCGATACGCCGCAGCAAACGCTTGCCATGTACACAATGCATTTCAGCTGCAAGCCAACAGTTCACTGACACCATATCAACGCATGCGCATCAGTGTAACTAGTTCAGGAGAAGTCCCAAACACCAACCGAGTGATGCCATTTGGATGTTTGGTTTTTGCCAGGCCGACTGATGGGTACTTGGAAAAGGTCAGAGAAGCAAACGCTCGTCACTTTGTTCCAGGGATTTACTTGACCCCAAAGTTATCTTCGTTAGGTCACTTCGTTGCCTTCGACGGTTCACAGGATGAGACTGTGGTTGTGCCTGTTCGAGACTTGAAGATTGCCTCACCGATTCGTTTTGTCGCTGGACTTCCCAGACCCTCAATCAGATCCAATTCCTGGATCGCTGTTGTTAAGCTAAAATATGGATCGCTGAGATCCATTTTTTGGATCGCTGCTCAGGTTTTGACCTGCCCAAGAGGCACTGCTATCATTGTAAGACAGCAAGAAATCGCACACATACCATGCTTTTGGGCAACTTAAGCAGTTGCTTGAGCCACTTAACCGACCCCACGCCACCACCCAAGGGGAAAAAAGAGTAGGGTACATGTTCGCAAGAGCTTCCACGTGAAGCTAGCACTTTAGGTGAAGACTTAGCACTTGACTTGATTCAAAGGAAAGAAGTGCTGGGTTGGCCTAACATACCGTAGCACATACACACACACACACACACACGCGCGCGAAAGCATGGACGATTCACTTAAAAGATTCCAAGTTCTTATTTAAAAATCGAGGGCTCTTAAGTTTGAGCGTTTCAACTGTGCCCAGCTGAGCCAACTTTGTTTTCCTCAAGCGGATTCGCTATTCCACCCTTCTTAGAGGATTGCGAGTGTGTCAGTGACTACGTCCAAAGTCTTGGCGATCGATTGACTCAGCTTGGGTTCCTTAGATGGACGATGCGTGTGGGGAAAACCTTCTTCAGGCATGATTCCCAGCTTGGTTGGAACAAGTAGCCAAAGTAACAAAAAAGAATGTTCAGAGAATGCGTGGATCCTCTTCAACAGTGCTGCCACGAAAGGATTCTTGCCAGAGGGTTTTGTAGTCCGAGAACAAAGGCGGCCGCGCAAGACACTGCATCCCACTGGCACTTGCGGCCATCCAAACATCAGCCACGGTTTGACAAAACTTGGTGGTGTAGATTCCCGAATCCTTAAGTTTCTTCCCACCAGAAACGCGGAGTCGTGCCTTGCTCTTGGACCAATGCTTCTTGTAGAAGACATCGTTTCGGGCACGAAACTTGAAGGCAGCTCGGTACTTCAAAGCTGTGCGGATGTACCTCAGAATAACACACGGCATACCTTTGCCTAGTTCTTTTGGTGAGCCTCCAACTTCCAACCCACAGAACAAAAAAACAAAGTTGCCAACAAGACTGAGTTTCTTGTTTTTGTTTTGCCAGAGTTTACGGATGGCTGGGACTGCCAACAGCTTGCTTCGCAGGATGTTCTGCCATATTTTTTCCATCTTTGGCGACCACTTGCCAAACAAAGGACCCAGCCAATCTGGGAGAATATTGCTGTAGAGTACGCTGGGTTTTGGCAATGGGTGACCAAACTTCCTCATCCAAGTATGGATGCGAGTAGCGCCAACGCTCTCCAGAAACCGGGACATTTCTGGGAAGAACCACAAGAGTGAGCTGGAGGGCTGTTCCATCCTGACATATGGTTCTTAGATACAAAAACACACGCACACACACACACACACCCCAAAACCTTGGCCCCTAAAACTGTTTTCTGACTGGCGCAGCTGAGTCTCAAGATCAGAACCTTTCTGGTGTGGGCCACACAAAGCAGAATGATCAGGTTCACAACGAGTTGGTTGGCCGCACGCACCTTTGCTTTGAACTGGTCTCCGTAAGGGTCATCGGACGTCCGCATGTGATAGGACGAAGATATAAACACGAAGAGGCCACATGGAGGGCCACATAGGAGGAAGGCAAACTCCACCTCACTTTAGCGATTTTGTTTTGTCAAGATGCTCTGAATCCCACCCTGCTTCAAAGAAAATAGAACCAACAATTTGTCATAGCTTGGAAACAAGTGTCCAGGGTCAGAATCTTGAGGAGCACAAAATGGAATCCTGTTTCCTTCAAGAGATCCATGTGGACTTTGTCATACAAGACATCCACTGCCAAAGTGCTGTGCCCACGGATCTCACACTCACTTGCAAAATTCTCTTTCCCAGCAAAAAGATCTAGCGACTCCAACTCCCGGCCATTTGGACAGTTACGGTCAAACGCTTCAACCATGGTCTCAATTTGTTCTAAATGTTGGGACGCATCGAACAAGCCATCACGCTTGGACACAAACCGGACCTCACTCATGGCGCGCTATGGAAGTGGCGCTACTGGAAACGTGGAGGCTCGGACCGAGCGCGCTGAGAATTTAAGGAGTGCTGAATGCCACGCCTAGTTTTGTTGAACCCATTCACCAAAATCATTTCCACCCTGGTGCAAAAGTTTTTGGAACTTCTCGGACGCAATCAAGCGTGCATGGCATTTGTCATGCAAAGCCTGGGTCTTCCAGTGGATGATGTTTGCCCACGTGCGCCTATGGCAGCTCCGTGCTATTTTGGCTATTTGGCCATTCAAAGATTCATCACGGTACGTGGAATATTTGCGAGGGTTTCCTTTGTACAAGGACCTTTGAATCAAATGTACCATAAAATGGGTCTTTGGTACCAGGGGTCCCCCAGCCTTGTTGTAGAAAGACAAGAAGCGTGAGTAGCACCCCAAAGCTCTGTGAACTTGGTTGCGGGTGAGACGCCGGGATTCAACACCAAACACAACATCTAGCTCCGAAGCGGCCTTAGACGCTTCCAAGAGAAACTTTCCTTGCCTCGCATCCGCTCGGGGTAAGTATTGCTCAAAATCACCCATGCGCCGCTCCAGAAGTTGGCGAACGAAAAGAGCCAGTCCATGCGATTCGGCAGCTTTGGCATGGAGGCTGGGAGCATCCGTAGAGCCCAGCATGGTCAAAGTTAGGTTCCAGACCTGGTGCCCCAAATCATTCGACCCAAAACTCAAAAGGTTTTGCCACAACCAACAAATTGGACACGGAATCCAAAACTATCCCAAACTTACTTGTTCAACTTAGGCTCTTCAGACCCCTTTCCCAACCAATCTTTGTCTTGCCGCTGGTCCCGGTAGAATGCAAACAGCTCAGATTTTATTGCTAGCAAGGAGAGTTTCCGTCGGTCTTGGGCGTCGCCCCCACCACCAGCCCGTGGGCCCCATAAACCTGTGTCAAGGCAGTAGTTCAAAGCCTTGCTGACCAGAAGTTGAAGGGGGCCCAAATGCCAGCTATGCATAATATCCAAAGAGAAAGTCTCCAGGCCTACGCCAGACAAATTTAGCAAAGGGCAATCGTGCAGAAGCCGCCCATCTTCTGGACAAACCCACCAGGAAGTCTCAAATGGAATCTCTTTGAACTCAAAGCCAGCCACGTCAGGCAACGTGGGCGTTGGCATCAAGCGGCTGGATTTCTTGAGGCCATATAGTGGGAGAGCGTGGGACAAACACCGACCCCGCATCTTGAATTTGTAAACCAGGTTCTGGTGAATCTTGGCCCTCATGGTCAGTGAAGTCACCTGCACAACCTAAGTGTTGACCCCATCGTAACAAAAACCAATAGGTGGCTAGACCCCATTCCCACCACAAAGGGCGTGAACAAAGTTAAGCAACTTGTACAAACTCGGAAAGATCCCGGTTGTACTCATTGGTGCCATAGCTTTCGTAGGGCATGGAATCAACTGTGATGTCGTTGAGTCGAAGTTCCCCGATTTCTTCTTGAGTCACTCTGCAGAGAGGGCACGGGTGAACCTTGTGGCTCCAATACCTGAGTCCGAAGACCTGGAGGAAAGCTGGCCAATCCCCCTGTATGTCAAGGACTGCAAATCTAGTGGGGCCAACCTCAAGGCCCTTCAAATCTGTGGTCCAGCGCAGCAAGAGGGGATAGAGGCTGCACCAGCCACGACACCCACATTGGCACATTTCTTCACTGCCTGGGCTAGCCAGGCAATCTAATATATACACTAAGTATTATTTGCCAGCGTTTTGATCACAACCCCACCCGAGCAATTGGGGCTACGACGAAGTAGGAAGGATAAAAACTTCTGGGTACTCAAGATGTCTGTGACATAGAATGCAAAAAAGGAATCCTTCTTGGTGTACACGACTCCATCCCAGTAAAGAGCTATTGGGCGAACATGGCGCTTGATACCCTCCGCCTTGGCAGCCTTGACCAGGGGGTGGTCCCAGTAAGCATCCAAATCACCAACAATCTTGTCAAATTCCGCAGTGTTGTCAACCATGTCTTGGGTAATGTATTTTTGAAAAGCTGTGGAGGGAAGATAGATCGGGACCTCTTCCACGACGCGCTGGGAATCACGCTTCTTGTACATAGGACACTTCACAAAATCCAAACCAACTTCAGGATAGATTTTTCCAGCATGTTTTTTCACATGCCGGTGGCCGTTTTTGACAGCAGAAGTTGCATTCAAAGCCAGGTCTTCCAAACCTTGCCCTCCAGCACGGGTTATGTGATAAGCCAATGTGGCTACCTCAGAACCAGGCATCCCTCAATGCAAAATTTCTCTAGCAAGTATCGGCGCAGGTCCTCCCCAGCTCTTTGTCGGTTTGTTTCTTGAAGCGTCGGCGTCTCATGGCTGCCTTTGGCGCGCGCTAGTAGCCGAGCCCTCTTTAACATGCCCTGATCCAAAATGCTTTTTTGCAAAAACATCGAAACATGTGGGTTGGAGATGGTTGGAGTTGGGCATTTCTGCAGCGCCACCCTGCAGCTCACTTGATTTTGTCGCACACCTACGGTCCCGTCAGAAGAAGCAGTTCCCCCTGCCACATCTACATAGAATCCGCCAAGGCAAATGCTTGGCTTGCGAACTAGCCCCACACCTGATTGTGTTTTCACAACCAGCCTACAAAATCAAGCCTTCCGGGCTCTCTTCTTAGGCTGCGGATCTGTGCTCATGGCCTGGGTCATGTTGTGCACCTTTGTCGCAACGCCATTCATCCTTGGCTTGCTCAAACTCAGGCCCAATACAAAAGATTAGAGACCTACAAATACAACAACAACAACAACAACAAAACTGATCTGAACCCAAGCTGGCTTCTGGGCTGCGTGGCCTTGGCACCGATCCACAAACAGAGCGAGCATGCTCTCGTAGTTCTTGCCGTACTCTTTTTTCAAAGATCGCAAGCCTGCTTTGGTGATGACGTTCAACTTGAGCTCATCGACGAACTCAGTGAGATCTTGTTCCGCCCCCTCAGAAGGCGTGAGAGCATCTTTGAAGCGGTTGAGCAGGTCTTTGTACTCTTCCAAAAAGCCACGAGCCCAGGAGAATTGGGAAGGTAGTTCATCACCCATGTGAGAAATCTTTTCCATGATCTGTTGGGATCGCTGAAGCTTGGTAAGAATTTCCTTTGACTGCTGCTCTGACATTTGCTCTGTAGAAAGCTCCTTCTTGGGCTTCTTGGGTCTCTCTGAGCCTGGAACCTTGCCCCCCTTCCCCTTCGCCTTGGCTTTAGCCTTGGCCTTTGGACGGGGCACAGAACCATCACCAGTGGTATCAGCATCCTTGCCTGCATCGGCGGGCTCTGTGGCCGCCTCTGACAAAGTATGGTCTGAAACACCTGGAACGACAATGTTGTAATCGCCCCATCCACGGAGGCCGAGTGGGGACTTCACAACATCATCGATGTTGACCTCCTCCACTTGAAGCCCATGATGAGCTGCGAACTTGCGGACTGCCTTGCATTTGAAAGACTCGGTCTCGTAGGTGCCGCTACCATCTGTCATCTCTGCCACTTCACGCCAAGCCTCCTCCTCCGTCTTGGAGACCAGTTTCTCTACCAAGAGAAAATTGTCAGCCTCAGTCCATGTATTGAACTTCACGAAGGCATCCTGCAACAGCAGTTGTGCTTGGGAAGGATAAAAGACAAAGGAAAAATTATGCGCACTCATTTCTTAACAACAAGCCAAAACATATAACATATTATAACATCAACCCGCTCCGGGAACTTTCTGCAATTCTTGATGTAGTTGCTGGCTTGTCTTTTCGCTTCTTCTTGATCAGTGCCCCCGAAGTAGACCTGTAGCTGGAGCTCACTCCTCCACTGTCCAATCTCCGTGTTCTTGGTGGTGGTGGAGATGCTCCGGATCCTTTTGCGGGCGACGAAATCAAAGCTTCTTGACACTGCCCAGCTTTGGCGAAACTTCTTTTTCAAATCATCGAAGAGCCACTTGTAAGTCTCGTTGGCCCCCGGACATTTCTTGATCTGCCGATACATAGCGTTTCCCATGGGCCCACGGGCTTTGCAATCTAAGCCCTTGCACGCCCAACCATCAATCCCTTCCTCCGTTTCATTCAGGATCGCTTCCGTGACGGCGCTCACTTCAATCCCATGGGCCGTGGCATACATAAACTTTGCTCGTTCCAAAGACGGTTTCATTGAGGCTCCACTTTGCCCCTCCTGGATTCACAGAAAAAAGAGGAGACCCCAGCCCCACGATAAAAACACGTTATATAATTAATACATGAAAAATTAGTGGACCAAGTGCCTGGGGCTCCGCTGCAGGATCCGGAGGAAGAGCGTTGTCCGCCATGGTACGGGCGCCCAAGATTTCCGGTGCAGACACCTTGAAAAGGACAAATTTCTGAGGAAAACGCCGACAGTTGGAACCTTTCCACCCCCTCATCGATGGCTCATCGCTCTGGTTTTTGTAGGCTAAATTGGCACGCCAAAATTCCTTATTTATTTTAAAGGCAGGGCCCAGTGATGAGCGTGCTCATCGGTGAGCTCATCGATCCCCCCTCATCGACCCCTCATCGCACGCGCGGGTGGTGTGGTGTTTCTAGACCCCCCAAAATCCTTATTGTTTTTAAAGGCGGTGACCAAGCGATGAGCATGCTCATCGGTGAGCTCATCGACCCACCCCTCATCGACCCCTCATCGCTCCGGATTTTGGCGGTTTGGGGGTTTGGCCGTACGGGCCCCGGTCGCCGTAAACGGGATACGGTGCTCTTACGGTTTACGCCAATCAGATCCAATTGAAGATCCAATGTGATACTGGATCCATTGGGGGGCACCCAACAACCAGACCTATATAGCCGATCCACCAACGCGACGACCGTGGCAGTCTGTGGGTCCAAAACAGACAAGATCTATTTTGGAAGGTGTCCGGACGGAGCTCCTAACAGTCATATAACACAGTATTCCTGGACACCTCACAAAGCAGATCGCTGTCTTTGAAGCTAGATAAAGCTGTAGAGCCATCCAACCTAGTAGTAAGGCCAGGAGTCCCTATAGTAGCGTCCTTGCTCCTAGTAGTGAGGCCAGGAACCCCTAGTAGCGTCCTTGCTCGTAGTAGTAAGGCCAGGAGCCCCTA